GATATGTAACAATACCATATGACCATAATTTTCTTTGCCTTATAACAATAGAGGCAATAATTAATAACTATCATATAGGATTAATTTATTATATATTACTTTAGTATGATAGAGCTGTTGAGGAATACTTAAAAGCAATTTCGTTTGATCCATAATCATGTATATCGTATAAAAATAGAGGTGAATATTCTAACTATTGAATAGCTATTGCCTATCATCATTTAAAGAATTATGATGAGGCTATAAAAGGTTTCTCATATGTAATTTAGATTAACTCAAATTATGCAATAGCATATTTCAATAGAGGTAATAGTATATATAATAGAATTAGGAAATACTTATTTAGAATCAGATCTAATTGATGAAGCTATATAGGATTTAAATAAGGCAATTAAGATTTACCCAAAATAAACTATTCCAAAAAATCTACTCTATTCATTATATTATTGTTTAGAAAAAATTGCTTAGACCAATAATATATACTCTGAGGTACTAGGATATTTCTCGAAGGCCATTGAACAAAATCCATAACATGGCAAGGCTTATAACAACAAAGTTAAAAATCGATGTCTTATCAACAGGATTTGTTTAATAACACTTGAAATAGTATGAAGATGCTATAAAAAATTTCTCAGATGCGATTAAGATAGACCCAAAATTAGCCGCAGTCTATAACAAAAGAGGTAAATATTATGGTTTTATAGTTAGGAAATGTTTATAATCTTTTAAAGAAATATCCTGAAGCTATTCAGGATTACTCAAGTGCAATAGAGATTGATCCATAATATGCAAAGGCATATTATAATAGAGGTATCTATTCACAAAAAATAATTAGGAAATGCTTATATTAAATTAGATAGAATTGATGATTGTAATAAGGATTATGAACTAGCAAATAAAATTGACCCAGAAAATAAGAATAATAAATGTAAATATTAAGAATTAATAAATAGGGAATCTTTCATAAAATTTGAGCGTATTTGATATGCCAAAACAATTCGATTGTGAATTTTATTATTATTAATAGAAAAATAAATTTAGAAAGATATAAATGCAATGGGGATAGACACTTAAATAACAGTAGCCTATTAATTAAAAGGTGAATATTAATAACTTATCATAAGTTATTAATATATTTTATGTTGAAATATTATGAAAAAGCATTAAATAACATCGACATAAAACTTTAAACTTAATCATAAAAGGCTTAAATATATTTCTAAAAAAGTTTATATTTATCTCTTATAATTAGGATGTATTTTAATTTTAAGATATTAAAAAAGAAATAACTTAATTATTTGAAATTATTAATATTTAATATTAATTTTAATCAAATTCTTACCATCTAGGAAATTTTGGTTTAAAATAAGTCAAAATTCAAGAAGTGTCTATTATATTAAATTCCTTTTAATATTTTTAACAATAGAAGTTGTTCAAGATTTTCAGTTGTTTTCCCTTCTTAAATATATACTCCATTTTAGATAAAATTCTAGAAAATGGAAATTATATTCTCTGTTTCTGTTTAGTTGCCTAAAGAATAGATAGATATATCATAGTATAGAATATAAGTTATTAATTCCTAAATTATGTTGAGGTCTTTTTAAAAGTATTTATTTGAATTTCAACTTTTTTGCGATTGAAAAATATGTTATTTTTTAATGTAAATTTTTAATAAATTTTTTATTAATTTATATTATGTAATTTTACATAATAGAAAACTAATTTTTAGAGATGCTTCCAAAAACTATCAATATATGAATTCTTTTTAAATTAGAATAATATAATAATCTTTATTAAAATTTGAATATATTTTATTTCATAAATAATTAAGTTCATTATCGTAAGATACTAAATCTTTAAATATGTAACAAACATAATCAAGGAGTACAAAACCATATTCTCTAACATTCTGAATTAAATCTATTCTCAAAATTTATGAATAATTTTACATTAGAAATTTACAATTTAAATATTATCAACATATTTATAGAATTTTTATCATAATTCAAACAGAATATCATCATTGTAGATTTTTTTATTCAAATATTTATCATCTCTTGAGTTTATTCAATTAAAGAATGTAATCAAAATCTTAGTCACATCTATACTAAATCTCATTTGATTAAGAATATTCTCCTTTATTAACTTATAAATACCATACTCTAGATATTTCCTAAAATGTAAAGAAATATCTCTTAACTTAATTTCCTGTAGGGAAGATCATTATTATTTTGTTGTTATGAAGATGGATCTATAATTATATGGTCTTTAAATCTCATATCAAATCCAAAATATTTGTTTAAACTTAGGAAACATATGCAAGCTATATCAAGTATGGTTGTGCATCAAATTAAGGAAGACTTAATCATAAGTGGCTCTTTTGATAAAACCATCAATATTTGGTTAAATCGATCTTCTCCATCTTCACATTCTTGATGGTAGTGTATATAAACCATTAATTAACATTAAGATTTGGTTTATGGATTATCTATAAACAAAGAGGGAAATGCTTTACTTTCTTGTAGTATAGATAATTAAATATTAATAATGCAAGGATCAAGATAAATGGAATGGCAAATAAAATAGAAGATTAAATTAGATGGGGAAGGATCTAGAATAGGTTTATTACTAATGGACTTTTTACATTTTAATCAAGAATACCTAGAAATCCTCTTTTCTTATACTAGCTTGATGAAAATACATAAGTGTTCAACAAATTATTAGATATTATTGTAAAAGATAGTCTTCCCTCTTGTTTATATATATAATAAACAAATTCTTATATCTAAAATGGATAGAAAGTTAATTTAATAAAATTAACATTCTATCCATCAAATTAAATACTCAATTAAATTTAATCAATAGATTATGGATTCAAACCAAACCAAAGGGCTGGCTATTTGGTATTGTTATACAAGATGGGGAGTATTTGATCACCTTGGATCAAAAGTCTAAGAACATTTAAATGCGATCAAATTTAGAAAACATAATCAAATAAGAATAAAACTGAAATATATTATATTTATATTTTCGAAACTATTAAAAATCATATTGTAATTACTCTTGGATCGTCAATAAATCTAAATGAAACTATGTAGTGGGGAATCAACTAATAGTATTAGAGTATTTACAGTTAATATAATAGAAAAGTGATCCAGTTTGAATGGTGAAAAAGAGAATTAAAATCAGATAATTTTGTTTTAGTGTGTGGGTATTAACTAATGATACCTTTGTATTTTAACAAGTTTCTAAAAATTGGAATTGGATACCACATTTTAATGTTTATACATAAAATGAATATTTATTGCAAAGAACAATTCCTTTCAATAGTAGAGAGAAATCCTGCTTTAATAATTTCCCTTTCTTATTTAATAGATAAAAATGTATACTTTTTGTGAAGAATGGAAATTACATCAATTTATTTAAAAATACTGATGGAAAATTTAAACAACGATAAAAGCAAGTTTTTTTGATATCACAACCATATTAGTACTTAAGCCATAAACAAAATTTTAAGTAAAGATGAAGAAAATCTTATTAATTCTCTGCATTTTCTTCCATCTTAAGCTCTTCCTCAATACGATCATTTTGACAATTAAAAAAAGGATGATAAAATTAAAATGAATACCTTAATTGTAAAATTTCTATCAATATATTTCAAAATCTTTTCAATTTACATCTAAAACTTTTTTAAATCTATTAAGTAATTTTAAATACTTCACTTCAAGTATTTATATTTATAAGCATAATTTCACCTAACAGCTGACCTAAAAATCTTATGATACTAGTACAATGTCATCAAATATTATTTACAAATCTAAAACTGAGCAATTAAAAAGATTACGAAATTAAATAGTTCAATCAATTTGAGAAGGTTTGCTCAAACAAAAAAATTAATTTAGGATTAATAAACGAAAACTTACCAAGATAAAGAATCTAATGATGTATTTCAAAAAGTGTAAGACATTGATTAAGTGTCTACAATAAAGATGATATAGAGCTAATTTCTTATGTCATTTTTAGTATAATAAAAGATTTAGATCCATTGGCATCAATAATCATAATAATTGTATGTATAGGATGCTCTATAAAGATAAAAATATCAAGTTGTAAAAAAAACTAATCTTAAAAAGTCTGCTTAGAGCAATAGGATTAGATGGAATTTTCGCTTATTAAGTTTAATTGGGAGATTTAATACGCTTATCTATACGAATACATTTAATTTAATTAATTATAATATTAGATACCCATTATAAAGAATAGGAATTTTAAATTGTATTTGATAACAGCCCATATATAAAAATAGAAAAAAAATAAATTTATTGTTTAAAGTCAAGTATTTATTTCTTTCATCATGCACTCTCAGTTAAACCCTATTGAAATTTATGGTAAAGTTTACGGAAACATTTAATTACAAATAGTATTTACATTTCCTTCAAAACTTATACAGAAGTTTTTAAATAGTATAGGTTAATAACTTAGACAAAAGATCAAATCAGAATTATTGTATTTTTTAATTCAATATTTAAAGAAACTCTGGTATTTAAATTTACATTTTCTTTTTTAAATTAATAATTTTAGTTTTAATTAATACTAAAATATACTTATATGATTTATTTTAACTTATTTTTATGTCTAATGAAAGTTATAGTTTACTAAATTAGGACTAATCAATTCAGTGTACACCAAGCCTAGGAAATCTAAATTGGATATCTTCACCAGTATTATTTTATATTTAAGAAAAAATACATGAATAAGCCTGCATAACTAATGTGGAATCTACCCTTATATCTAATTGAATCCTAATTTGGACATCAGAAGTCTATAGGGAAAATCTTTTGATTCAATAAAAATAGTTACTAGCAGTTTGCATTGTTAATTTCTCAATCTTAACAATAAAACCCCAATAAAATTAGTCTTTTGGAACTGAACAAAAATAAACAACAGGAAAAGAATAAGAAATTCATATTGCTAATATCCAATTCACTAATGTAATCTTCATATAGACATTTAATTAACTATCATTTAGAGTTTTTTGATAACTTTAATTTGTTTTTCACAATAATTTAGGATACTAAAGAAATTTTAGTATATAGTATTTTTTATTATCAAATAAAAAAACAATAAAATACTTCAACAATTTTAAAATTAGTTTTAATTAACATTTCTCTTGAATTTGTTTAATTCTTTTTTCACTTTATTTATCTTCTTCAAATTCAGATAATATATTTTAATATCCGTTCCTTATAAGTTAGTATTGAGTATAATAAATAATGCATAAAATACTTGAATATATTGATACATTCTGCTTTATTTATAACAAATTGTTTTCATACTTAGTCTAAAATTTTAAGTTAACCTTTTTTTGGTTCATTCTCATAATTAATCTTAAGCAAATTAAGATGTTAAAAGTATTTGAAGATTCTAAAATAGTCTAAAAATAATTATTGTTTTTTGGAAAACTTTAAGAAGGCTTTATATGTGAAATTTATATCAATCTCCTTTCTTGTAAACTTTAACTCTCAAAGCATTTTTATATTCCCTTGAATAATAATTTTTCATTTAAAACTAAGACTAATAAACTCACTTTTTATTAATGAATCATAATCATTTGTATTCACAAGTATTAAATCAAAACCTAATTAAATAATAAACTATCTTTGTGCAATTTAATAAAGTAAAAATTAATTATTAAAATGACGAATAAATATTAGTTTCACATTCAATATTATAGAACTGTATACTAAAATGATTCCAATAAAATGAAAGAATAATTAATTTTATAATTTTAGCAATACAAATAGAACATCTTAGAAGTCTAATTTATAAGAGAAAAAATTGAACTTCACAATAGAATATCTGGGATTATTAAGGAATTGTCTATAAATAAATTAAAAGCTATAAATTTAGAAAATATATTTTAAATGAATTGATCAATTACTAATCCGATAGAACTAAGATAAAAGTTCCTTCTGACAATAGCTATGCGTAACAGACCAAAGTGCAAATATTTGCACTTTTGAGCACTAATTAATATAAATGATATAATTTGTAATTATTTTTATTAATGTATTACTTAGATAACTCTAATTTGTTTCCAGGAATATAAATACTAGTATTACGAATTCTTTTGTGAATTATTTAGGAGAAAAAAAGAGCTCAAATATATTCTTGTTTGAAAGTCAATAAAAATAATTAAAACTATTAAGCCTATAATAATTATAAATTTTATCAAGTATTCAAAGAAATTATTGCAAGATTGATTAAAAGTATGAAATATTAAATCACCAAATATTAACTAATTTATTTTTTATTTAGATTTATTTCAATTCACGATATTATTTAATAAGATTAGTTATTAAATAAATAAAAAATATTATTTCAAAGAGTATATATCCTTTATCGACTTTGCTTAAATAAATATCTATTTTTTCTTCTTAATGAGTCTTAAATTTTAGGTTTTTCCTCATCTTTTTTAATTGAAATATTGATTCCACTATAATTTCATGTTCTACTGTTTTATGATAATTAAAAAACATCTGTATAGATTTTATTTTGAGTAATTTCAATCCAACTAGAAAAAGTTTATTTAAATATAAGTAGAAAGTTAAATTATGTATTTAAGAGGTATTATTTCATATATAAAGATGCTGTTAAAATTAACAAAAATTGTGATGACAAAATTATAATTTTTGAGAATAATGAATAAAAGAGAATAGGATAAAAGGATTTTGATATAATGATATTAGCCATATTATCGCTAAAATTGAGTTATTTTTAATGAAATGATAGTTTCATAGACATAAGATTTGTATCATTGCAAATGTAGGTATTAAAATATAATTTTATATTTATGATTAGTAATACATATATGGATTATATAAGTATTAATGAGTAAACTATTCGCTATCATATATATTGTAAATATTGAATCATCTAAAATCATTAATCTATCTTCATCTTTAGCAAATAAAATAATTGTAATTATCGTTCTCGACTACGGTTTAATAAGAAATGAATATTTTTATAATCAATTAAATTTATATAAAATTAATTAAAATCCCTCCAATGATATATAGAATTTTAATTAAGTTGGAAATATTAATTTATTACGTATTATTACACAATAAATAGATAATTAAAATCATTATAGATTATTAATAATTTTTGAAGAATAATAGAAATATGAATAAATACCTCGGATTTACAAATTAGGATTACCAAAGATAAATAGAAGAATGCTTTCAAGGTGTATAAAACTAAATTGAAGTAAAAGACTTAATTTATAAATTTAATAGTCTTCATTCAATAATATTGATGCTTATCTGGATTCCCTTCTTAATGAAACTTCTGATTCTTTGAATGTTTAAGATCAAAAGTCTCTTGAAAATTCATAATATACATCTTAAATTAATTGGCCTTAATTTAAATTGAATGATGCAAAATTTGTTTCATAACTCTCTTAAGACATATAACCAATAATCAAGACTAAAATTAACAATTAATTATTGCTCAAAGAATAATAACTTCAAATTAATATCAGTTAAAAATGTGAACAATAGATAAGAGATATTTAAAAATCAATGGAATAGAAATTAATAGATAAGGAAATCTTATTAGAACAAAAAAATAAAGAAATAGAATGTTTAAATAGTAAATTAAATATAAAAGAATAATAAACTATTTAATCTACTCATTCAATAAATCTCAAACCTTTCAATTATTAAATAATTCAACAATCTTCAATTTCATAAAATGATTGGTGTTATGCTATAGCTTTTGATAATGATTGTTCAACATTGGTGGCTGGATGTGAATCATAAATTAAAGTATATGAATTCAAATAAGGAATCATCAAAGAAATTTAAACTTTAAATGAACATTAGAGTAGAGTATTTACTTTAAACTTCATGAAGAAATCGAAATAGTTTATATCTGGAAGTGTAGATAAATCTATTAGAATATGGAAATAAAATTAAAATTATTTATGGAGTTCATTATAGATATTAAATGGACATAATGGAGTAATCAGTTGTTTAGTATTAAATATAAATGAAGATCTAATTATATCAGGGAGTCATGATAATACTATTAAATTTTGGATAAAGAAGAATGAATGGTTATGTTAATAAACAATTACTGATCATTCTGATTCTGTATATGGATTGAGTTTGAATTAATAATAAAATAGAATAGTATCATGTGGAGATGATAAATTAATATTAATAATAGAAAATTAAGGATAGAATACAGAATGGAAAGTAATACAAAAGATTAATATTAATAATTATGGATTGAGAGTATGCTTTATTGATAATAATATGTTCACATTGTCTCAATATAATTAAGAATATATATCTGTCTTTGAAATGAATAATATCAATAAATAGTTTACGAAAACTAGAGATATTACTATTAAGTGTGGATCAGATTGTAATTGTTTATTTCCTTAATAATACATAAATTAAAAATGTATTTTATTAAGTAAGAATGGTGAATATGTCAATTTGATAAGAAAAAAATAAAATGGAGAGTTTCTAACTGAATAATCTATTCATTTTGCAACTTATTCTATATTTGGAGGAATGAGTGAAGATGGATAGTATTTGATCACATGGGATAAATAATCATGTTAAATATAAATTAGGAAATATCATGAATTATGATAATTAAAATTAGTATATTAAATATATTTGACTACAATTTTTCTAGATTTAAGCCAATTTATTTAATTATCTGATATTTTTTGAAATGATAAAATTGAATTAGATATTTTTTAAATTTATTATTAAGCGATTTTATTATGCATAAAATAATTACATTGTACATTACCAAATTTTTAAACTAGATACTTGTTAAACATTCAGAGTAATTTCCTAATAAAAATCAAACATTTTACATTTAAGAAATCATAGGAATATTTGAAAAAAATTTTTACTTTTGAAAACATTTTTCAAACAATAAATTGAACTAAAGTTAAATAATTACATTCAATTAATTAGATTCTTTATTTTCTGTAAAAAATCTTATTTTTATTTATAATACAACTCTTAATATGAATGAAGAGAATAAGCAATAAACTTTTATTTTCTATCATCTCTATTTTTTTTCATAAATATTTAAAATTCTTAAGAAGAATAATCATAATAATTTAATAATTTGAATCATATCTCATAAAAAGTAAATTTCTGATCTTCTTTTGAAAATTTAAAAGAATATCAACTGAGAAGGAAAAAAACCAATAGTTGAGAATTATAATTGATCATGATTTAAGAATGATTCTGAAAAAGAGCAGGTAGTGAATATAATTTTTTGGAAGAAAATAGAATATGGAAAAATAGTAGTGTTGATGATAAAGAGAATGACATTGACTTGTTTGGGAAAGGAAAAGTATTGAAAGAGAGATTAAATATAATAATTGATGTACAAATATTAAATCGATTCCTAAGTTAATAATACGCAGGCCAAATTCAAGGTTCTTAGGGTTCCTATGAAAATAAGTCTGATGGTTGATGTTACAAGATTGCAGATTGGAGGTATTTAAAAAATATTAAAAAGGAATAGATTTTATCGGATTCAGCAGTAAGTTTATGACAGAGATATAATAATACTCCATTCACATTAGAATTAATAATAAAGTACTGTATAATGATCCTAGATATAGGGAATTTCGAAGTCAATCATTATCAATTGAGAAGTAAAAGGAGCATAAGAATTTTGAGGTTTAATAGATGATTTATGTTTAAATAGAATATGATTTATATCTTATTTGATATGCTTTATAAGGAATATTCCAAGAAATATCACTGTATAAGGTGCAATTTGAGTGAAAATATCAAAATATAAAGTTTAGAGGAAACTAAAAAATCTCTAGAAGTAAGATGAATAGGTTGAGTAGACTTTTGGAGGTTTTGTTTTCAGCTAATAATCCTATATTAGAATGAAGTAAATTACATTGAGGGAAAATGTTTTGTGATCAAATTAAGTGTAGGAATGAATTAAATATGAACTTAGATCTACTTTGACTAATTAAAAATTATAAATACTAAAACGAATGATCATGGTATTTGGAAGTTTTGATCTGTTATTGTGAAAATTTGGCCCTTATTTGTTCTATATTAATCATAAAGTAAAAAATTAATTTTCTCTATAGACATATTAGGATCATTATAGAGACTTTGGGAACTCCAGTATGAATAAAAGTGGATAATGTGAGACTGGATATAACAAAATCATCTTTATACTAGATTCTTTTGCATTCCTGAGCTTACCTTCTCCAACTTGTAGAAAAACTACAGGATACACTATAAGGCTCTGACTTTTGAGAATCAACGAAAACCTAACATTCTTTTAATCCTATGATTTAAGGCCTCCCTTATCCCTATTTTCAACTACTCAATCCCATCCTTTTATATTTTGTCCTATCTCTCTTCTATGCTCATTGATACATTCCATAAATTATAAGACACAGATCCAAATTATCTTATATTCCTTATCCGTATTGGAGTACTAGGCCGAGACTTTCTGGCAGTAAATGAAACCTAATGTTTGCTAAATTCATAAAAAAATCATTTTAGAAATTTTAATCAAGATCATTAATTATGCACTGGGCCCTTTGTAATGGAAATGGGTAGTTTCTCAAGTTTGAGAAAAATGAGTGTCTGATCATGTCAGAAGATAGTCTGAGTGCTTAACTAATTTTAAAAGTTGGTAGTATAAATCCCAATAATTTTGTTTCAGTCCTTATTTTAAAAAAATAAGAAAGGAAATATCATAAACAAAATTCTATTTAATTTTTAGTATTTTTTGAAAGACTCAGTTACATATTGTCATAGTATACATTTTTAATTTTGATTTTCTAGCTATCCACCACTCAAGTTTTCTTTTTCAACTAACTTTTTTCTCAAGAGAAATAAATTATATTTAAGTTTTATTTTGATGAGTCTATTAGGAAACAAAAAGAGGATAAAAGCCATATTGGATAAGCTAAATAAATATAACACAGAATAGATACAGGAAAGTTAGCTTTGATAATAATGGCAATAAAGGGAAACTATATTAGGAATATATATCTTGCGAATTTAGAAATTCATTTAGATATTAGATATTGCAATATGAGATGAATTTGGGAAACTCTTAGCTAATTTATTTATTAATGAATAAAACGAGGTTGAGGAAACAGTGAGAGATCTACATCAAAAAGTTGAAATAATGGATAAAAGCCAAAAATAGTTGTTTGAGGAATAAAAATAGGAGTTTATAATTTATAGAAGGATGAATATAGCGAGGATAAGGATGATTCAAGAATGTGTATTTTGATTTATTTAAACTTGAATGGAAAGTTTGTTATTAGCATGAATTTAAAATTTATTTGGTACTTAATCTAATATTAAGGATTAATTATGAATATGATGGTAAGATTTAAATATTTGAAAGTTAAATATATTAAATTGAATACACGTTTACCTCTTAGAAGTATAAGAGCAGAAGCTAGTATATCAATTATCAAACATTATAATAGATAAATTCCACAAGAAAAATTTAATATACTTTCAAAAGCTAACTGTATATAAACCAATATATCATTTTAATTTCAGCTCAGTCTTTCAAAATAAAAATTACAAATCTATGGATCTCTATTATGACTATTCAATAAAATTTGAACTCTAAAAGCAATTTTTATTTTGAGTATATTTGTGGTATGAATACCGTTTTCACTATTTATTAATACTTCAGATATCTCCATAATTTTTTGATTAAAATTAAAATTAAAGATTTTGATTGTATTTCAAATATTAGCAATAAATGATATCTAAAATAACATTTAAGTGAATAGATTGGATTTCTCTTATAATAGAGAATATATGGAATAATCTTTTTTTCGAAAATCTTAATTAAATATTTAGAAAGCTCAGTATGGTTAAATATTGATCAAAATATCTATGAATGTAAAGTTTAAAAACATATTACATAAGATTAAGGATTAAATTTAATTAAATTTTTTAATAATATATCATATTTAGTTTTTTTTGACAAATCCAAATCAAATTCTTCACGTTTTTTTGTTCCGTATATAATGGAA